GTATCTTACAACCGCGGAAACAAAGCGTCGAATTCGGCTAAAATGTACTCGCGATCGCTCGTAATCTGTGATAAACAGATGATAAACCGGCGTACCGTAAAATCCTATGAAACACGCGAAACCCTCGAAGTACAGCTTTCGATTCCACCTTTTCCGTCGCGCGGAGAAGCCGGTCCCCCTCGAACTGTTCCTTCTGTAAAATCGATATTTATACAATCTCTCGCGACAGTTTCAAAGCGTTCAACTATTTCGTCGAAATTTGAACCTCTTTTCGGATGTAACTCGAATCGCATCTTCGACGATGACGGATGAAAGAAATAAACTAGATCGATCTGGAAAATCATCCGTCTCGGTGTAAGATCTAGCGTTGTTCGCGGTAGCGAAGATCGGTCTGGCTAACGAGCAAAAAGCACGAGGTACCGTTCTGCGTGCTTTGGACTCTGCTCGATGAAAAGACTGACCGCTCGAGTATCGTTGAACTCGCGTGCGCTATAATGCGTCTCGGTGCACGCGACTGATGCACGCTCGAGGAACCTGCTTTTCATGTCCCAATTGCGGCCTAGGCCTCGTCGGCAGCCGTGCTCCTCGAGATTTTTCCTCTCGCCTCCTCCGTTTCCTACCTTTTCATCCTTTCGATCTTTAACTTCATTAATTTCTTTCTTCATCGGATAACGGGTTAAGATGCGGAGCAAACATTCGCGAAGAATTTCAATAGCACCCTCGTTTCAAAAATTCGGAACAACGTTGAAATTGAATTGGTAAATCTAGATTTTGCAATTATACGATATTACCGGTGTATCGATCGCGCGATTTATGATGCTCGTTTCGCTACGATACGATAGGTTCTTTTTTTTTTTTTATGGAGAAGATATGGCAAGCCAAGGGTTGCGGAGATAGCAGAAAGTATTTCGGTGTCATTTGCTCGAGCATTTACCCGGCCAATGAGCTCAGAGTGGTTCTCTTGGGAGTCGCGTTGCATATTTTGTAACAAGCGTACTCCGCAAACGAGAAACGTTGAAGATTTTAATTGTAAAACAGCAACGAGGGTAGGCCGCGATAAATTTCTCGTACAATTAACGATTACATCACTCTAATTACTGATCGTTTCAATTTCATGATTGCTGTTTAATTGAAACTCTTATTATCTGGTAAAAGTTTGAAATTTGATTAGATCCAAGGGGACAGGATTTGAGAAATTTCGAAAATTTATATGCGTTTGAAAAATTTCACTGATCAAGTGAAATTAATTAGTTTTAATTATATTCAAAACAGGCTATGTATTAAGCTAATCATCGCGCGTGCGAAATGATTTCGTTTCGCGATCTTTAATAGAGCGGGAAAGAATAATAAGCGGCAACGCGCACGTTAATAATCGAGGTTGGCGTGTTAACGCTTTCTAAGAGTTTCTTTCTTTCCTTCTACTCGAACGGTGGATTTTCAAAATGAAATTACACCGGGCCAACGGCGGAGAATCGAAGAAAATGGCCTGGAACCTTTATGGAAGGCTGGCATGGGATGAAAAAACCTTGGGGAAGATCGATATGGGGAAATAAAATCTCCCGTTTCTCCGTCGAGTGGTAATTTCATGGAAGTTCCAGCGAATCCAGATAGGAAAAAGTCAGTCGTCGATAATTGCCTCTGTAATGGCTGGTAGAGGTTAATGAGAAGAAAAAATTCAGAGGTAACAGCGGAAAAAATTCTGCGGTTGGAAAGGTCATCTGTGAAAACACATTTCTGAAATTTTACATCTCATTCGTGAAAGTACCATCCCTTTTTTTTTTATTTTTTCCTTCTAAGAGCTTCTACTATTTCGGTCGATATAAGAGAAAATACATGAAGGGTAAGCTGTACAATGATTGGCACCCTTAAAGGCTATGATGGCTGAAATTTCACCCTCCGCGAATTTCTCAGTAACCATCGCAGTGCCATTCGCAACCGAGCAAACATTGATATTAAATAATAATATAACAAATTAATTGCTTTTTACATTTTTCACTGACTTCTAAAATAAAAGGAAAATTGCTGGAGTGAAATTTTCATCCCTTACACAGGAGATACTGTAACGTATATAATTGTTGAAACGTTGTATTGTTATTGTTAAAAAATTGTTTTCTATACAATGATATCGACACCATAACGAGATAGGTGAAACGTAGCACCCAATGAACGGTGTACTTCGGGGGGTCGTCCAACGGCGAACGACTTCGTTTTTTATTTAAATCGGACGAGGATAAATTGTTTCATTTACGGGAATATTTATTAGCAAGTTCTCGGTGTTGCCGACTTAATAAATTCGTTTCCATCTTCGGCCGGGCCGGAGCATTATCGTCGTTCCACGCTTATTTACATTAAGTACGTTCAACTTGCGGATGATTACGTTCTTGAAAATCAATGAATATTATCGTTTAGCCGCGGGCATCATAACGTGCCCTGTTATTCTTCTCTATTGCTTTCTGTAATTCATTTATCGATTCAACTGATTGATGCTTACGGTCAATAAAAACATGTACATAATTCTATTACTCGGGAAACGATGAATTGCTATCTTCGAAAGAAAAAGAGAGAACCACGTAGATAATACATCGACGATGTAGCCTGATAGATAAATATGTGTACTTGCAAAGAACTTTAAACTGTGTGCACGAATGCGCGATAAAAATATTTAGTAGCGCGCGAAAGAAATTTTTCAGAGAAAGGAATAAACTTGTACGCTATTTGTGGTTCGATAGTGGTATCCAGCATCGTTTTCTTTAAAATAAAAATATATATTTTTCAAGCTGAATTTATAGTGACGTTGAATTTATTTACACAATTGGATTTGGAGGATAATTTTCACACCCTCGAATAATTAGGTCTAAATTGACCTGGTATTGATTAAAATCGAAAATCAGTATTCCTTAGCCACCGTTTAAGGAAGCAAGCGTAAGCTAGATATAACAAGTTGTCCGCAATAGTAGCCATTCAAGGCATTATCCTGTCGGTGGTTGATCTTAATCTAAATTGCTGAAAGTTCCCGTGAAAGAGGGATAATTCAAAGCCCCTTTTCTCGCTCTCTTTTCACCGGTTCGTCGAACGAACTTGCAAACGATGAGACAGAGAGCCGATCGTTTGTTCCTCTCGACAAGCAGCAATTAGCAATAGCAAACCCTTTTGTCCTCGACGGAGGAAGAATCCAACGACGAACCCATTCATCGATTATTATAACATCTACCGCGACCTTTCCCGGACGAAAAGAAGCTGGGAAAGTTGAGATTTCTTTTAAAAAGGCGCCATTCGCGAGACAATTTCGTCCCAGCTCGATAAACTTTGCGTAATTTTTCCAATTGTCAGCTCAAACTCTTCGTCACGTTTTCAACGAGATTCCCCGCGATGTTTACGAGCGTCCCTTTACTTTTTAACGCGACACGAAAGCTTTGTTTCGCACTCGTCTCCGCTGAAAATAGGGCAAGTATGCAAATTGATATCATTTACAAGAAACGGTCCTGTAAGATCCGATGTAGGGAAATTTTATTCCGGTCTTGGCCGAAAGTTTTTCACATGGAGAGAGCACTTTTCTTCGTTCGAAGGGCACTTGTTAAAATATCGATCAAGCCCTTTGGACCGAATGGATTCGCTAGTTCGATCAAACAGATGCGTCTTCCCTTTCCAAATTCAAGCTTCTTCTGATAATTAATTTTTCTGTTTTCCCTTTTCTTCTTCGGGGAGAAGATAAATGAAAAATGGAGCAAAACCGTGGGTAAGATGGATTCCTTATTCGTCTGTCGGTGTTTTTTCCAACGCTAGACCGACACCCTGGTCGAAAGGATGATCGCGTCATTTTTCATTCTCCGTTCGGTAGTGTTCTGCGAGCTTCTGCCAAGGCACGCCCAGAATAATCAGTGGGAAAAGGAGGAAAGGTCCTTTCTGGCTCAGCCCATCGAACGATCCCGGACCCTTCGAGTGTCCACGTAGTCTGTTAGGCACAATGAGCATCGTGGCTCTTTTCGAGAAGGAAAGATTATCGGACGCCGCAGGACGAGCTGCTTCAATAATGGTCAGTGGCCCTTACCGAGCCGCGTTCCTTCTTGATTGGCCAATCTCGCTTGTCCCTTCAGCTTTCTCCGTCTTCCTTCGTCCTCTCGTTAATTCGAAAGCGTAAGACCGATTTCGGTGCGTGCCTTAGTTAGCCCAACATCGTTCGAGCATCGGCTTTTCATTCCGCTGTACCACCGTCAGAGAAATGGAATCAATGGTCAACGATATAAACAAACGTTCGTCTTTGATTCGCTCGAACAATTCGATAAAATTTTTCCTTTCTTCGCTGGCCTTGCGGTTGCGTACAATGAAGACAATTGTAATTTCTCGCAATTACTTATAGAGAAAAGAAACGACGATTTTAATTGATTAATAAGAGAAAGAATCGGTTTCTTTAGTTCTCCTGTGGGTATTCATTTTTGATATTTTTCATATTCCTGCGAGAGGACCGTTATCAGTGGGAGTCTGTTTTAATTGAAATTCGATAAACGCTCAGACGAGATCGGGATTTTCACGAAATACGAATCCGCGATATACTCGATTATTCCGAATAACGCGTGTTTAATCGCACTTCGCCGGCGATCGGACAATATTTTGCAATAACATGCAAATTTTCTGTCGAGCGCAACGATGCCGCTCCGTAATTGTATCTCCTACTGCCGGCTATTTCGCAACACATATTACGCAAACTAATGGAAAAAGAGGAAAATTTCTTCGTTATCTACTACAATACCGATAACGTGTACGTTTTTACCATTTTCACTGCGGAACGCGTTGATCCGTTTTACATACAGAATACGAGTTACGTTGTTTTCTGCCGCCTTTTATTCGCGTGTTAAATTCCCCTGAGATACGAGTAGCAAATGATGCGATAGCTTTTTCTTTAACATTAATACAATTATTAGAAACACCATCGAACGTATTCAAAGGAATTTCTAATTTCTATCCACGTAAAACTGGAACAGGTTGTTTTTATATCTGTTCAGAGCAGAAACAAGTTGGCCCGCTTACCAGCTTTACAAACGTCTACATCCAGATCACCGCTGATTCCATGAGGGAACTTTGTGTTGAGCAGTTGGTCGACGGTAAATCTACGCCTGTGCCTTCGATACTCGTTCTCCGTTGAATGAGCGTGGACCGCCCGGGAATCGGCGCATCGGCACGCCAGCCAGAAGATCGAAACCAAGAACAGCAGTCTCATCTCGATACCGTCGATCGGTCGAAAACGACAACGAGCGGGGTGTCTCTTCTATCGGCACCCTAGCCCATCAAAGACCAATCGTACTACCGTTTACACCGATGCATTTGCCACTGTTTTCTCTTTCACCCTGTCGTTCACCGACTCGAACTTCACCACTCGACTGGAAATGTTGTGATTATTTCTCGAAACGATAATCACCGATCACATCTCCAGATTTTTTTTATAACAGACAAATTAATAAGAAAAACGATGAAATTTCTTCGATTCGTTTATTCTCGCTCGTAGAATGAAACAGATTTCATCCGCGACGAAATGTACGAAGGCGGGAAAACGATAAATGAATAATGAACACGATGTTTCTATAGAAGTAAGTAAGATGATATTTGACGAATATTTATACGCGGGAATCGAGAAGAAACGGTGGAATAATCGTGCGTACGAACGCGGGTGATACGTAATCGTTACTGAAGTTCGCTCGGACGCCGATCGAGGAACTTGACGAAGATCCCGTGTACGTCATCGAGCTGGTGATAAGATGATCGCGAGGAAGGCAGCGGGAGCGCGGTCAAAGTTCGTGTTACAGATTAGAGGGACTGTATTGCCGGCGGCGATCGTCCTTGCGTGGAGAACGTGGAGAACAGACTGATCGTCCCTCGCGGCCGACACGACGCGTCGTTGGAAAGCGCGCGCTCGTACTGGCATTAAGTCGAGAGAGGGATAGAGGAGGAGGGGGATACGTATGTATATATCTAGAGGGGATGCCGGGAACAAGCAGAGTCTCCTCCCTCGCAAACCTGCACGCCACGAGGGTGGCCGAGACACTGACCGAGCTTCCGTGGTTTGCTCGACAGCGAACCCTAAAGAATCCTCCACCGTCGAAAAACACTTGTGCCACGCTCTACATAACGCTTTCCTTTCGCAATCTCTCATCTTCGAGCGATCTATTAGAATTATTCTTTTTAACATAATCTGTGTTAAAATTAAAATAACTGGCAAAAGTATTACAAAACATTCTCTGTTATTGGTATTATTTCGGCAGAGTGGGACACAAGGAAAATATTGTAGTATGTAATATTCCAAAAAATTGTCTAATTTGAGCTAATAATTATCTCAATATTTAATTAATTAATTATTAATAATTGTCTTGTTTTTCCAACAGTCTTGAAGTCCCACTCTGCCGAAATAATACCCTATTATTTTTCACCAATCGTGATTTGAATATTTTCAACCCTCTTCAACGATAGAAACGGTTCGATTTATCCGCTAATTATTGTTACAACAAATTCATACTCCATAAAAATGAAACGATATTCGTTCGGCTAATTGTAAGCGATGAAACAGAAACAAAATGTATATCCAGTTAGTTGGAATGGCGTTTTGCGCGAGCAATTGTGCGTTAAATTGAAAAATTCATGGTACACGTTCGAGGACGGAACGAGCAGGATATTTAATAGGTATTTTCATGGAAACGTAGCGGCGTCGCTTTCGGCTACATATTGATAAATATTCCAAAAGTGGCGGGGCCGGTCGCCCACGGAAACACGTGTTTCATATCCCACGCAACGACCTGTATCGGTCAAGTATCGGATTACTGTCATGGGATCACCCTTTAGGAACCCTGTCTGTCTATCCGAGGGTAAGTGCATGTCGACGCTGCACAGAAACCCTCCACGAGAATAATCTCTGTAGGTACGGGGGGTGAAAAACCGAATTCTCTTCTCTGTTAACATCACGCACGAACGAACAGAGTCCGCGTTACAATGGACGACCAATGGAAAACAAATGACCATTTTTAAATTGACAAGAGCGTGAATCGTTTGAGCACATCCGGTCCGTGTGTCACATTCTGGCTAGTGGAGCTATCATTTGAGATACCGGTAGCATTTCGGTAAAAATAATTTGATAATAATGTTTAATAACGATTTGACAAGATTAACCACGATTAGCAAAGGGAAACTGGTTGAACGGACAATTACATCCATGAGTTTAATTAAAATCATTATGGAGGTGTGTATTAGAAGCAATAAGTTAGGCGTTCGTGGTCGCAGCTGCACGTGAGGCGTTAAGTGTAAAAGTAATAACGTATCTCACGACACGGTGATCGTGGAAACCTTTCGTAGAAACGTCGACCAATATTTATGAAAAAAATCGATCAGATAATGGAGATTGTTAAACGGTGAAATTTTCCTCTACAATTAGCGTAAAATATTAATTAGCTCAAAGTTTGCTACAATTAGCGTAAAATATTTGATAGGTCCGCGGTACGTGTTTCCAGAATTTTGTCGGTGCCCTGTTCGTCTCCTGAAGAAAAGAGAGAAACGGAAACGGCGGTGCAATTAAAACGGAACATGAGCTTGGAATTTATTCGCTGCTCCTTCCGGTTAGGGAGCGGAACGATGCGTCTTCGGTTAACTGGCGGAACTTTTCTGAAAATTTCCACCGCGAAACAAAGATCCCCGCGCGAGAAACTTTTTCTCAGCCGCGTTCAATTTCGAATTTTCTTGCGATCCTAGCAGAAAACTCGAAAAGCCGCTCGTACCGGGGTCGTACTCTCCTCGCAGGAATCTTCGACGGTGAAATAATTAACGTGGAAAGTTTCCACGCGATTGAAAGATCTCGTGTCGCGATAAAGGGGTGCCGTTGTAAAGCGGATCGTCGATGAGCGAGCGACATTAATTAAAATCGCCGAGTTTAAACTCACCCTCTTCGGCCGCCTTCTTTTCACCTCGTGTCCCATTTGTCTCGGCTATCGTTTAACAATTCTCGACACGGCAATCGAGTGTTCGATCGATTTCTGGATAATTATTGTCAGTTGTCATGTTAAATCCGTTTAATTCTTAAGAAGCAGACCACCTCGAGATCTAAGAAAGAAAGGACGAAATCGAGGAGCAACGATATAGCAATGCGTTTGCTCGTTTAAACGAACTGCCGACGAATAATTAATCAGCATTAAGCATGCACTCTTTGCTGCACGCATAATGAAGCCGATTAGACGCGCGTTGAAGCTTTCATCTCTCGAAAATACAGCTCCCATTAGACCTCCGTACAGAGTGATTTAAAATAAGTGTAATAAATTTGGATAATTTTTTCCTCCGCTCAGAAAACAATTACCTACTCGAAGTAAAATAAAAAGAACTTTGATAGATCGTTAGAATTCTATTACAATTCGCGATGCTAATTATTAGTGATAGCTGTCTGATAAATTTTGTTCCACTTCTTTTGAATCTTCCTGTATACTGATCGAAGGGTTTCAACAGGACTAAACATCATTTGTAATGTCTAACGATATCACTGAAATAAATTTAATATCCCCCAGACGTCGACGTCTATCCACGACACGAGGGTTCCACAGGGCAGTGTTCTTCAATTTTTATTCAGGGGGTTGATAAAATTGCTCCAGATTCGTGATGAACCATGAAAATTGAAATGAAAATATATCATACTCAAATTTTCTTAATTAACACAAGTGATCTGTATGAATTTTTAACTTTCATTTTGGGGTTCGATTTTAACGATACTGTTAGGCGATTTTCCAATGGAAAACCAGGTTGAAGAACACTGATATGGGGAGAGCAGGTTATCTTACCATCGATGTGGAAGTATAGGTCTGATATTACTGGTGTAGCTCCGCGAAGTTATGAGAGGATATTCAGATAGATCATTCCGGTTGAATATTTTCTGGTAATGGAACACGGAATCGCGTAACGATGTACTTGGATGGAAACGTGTGTCGTGAATAACAGTATCATCGATGAATCACTGGTGAGTAAAAAGATCCAAGTTTCTGATTCGTTGTAACTGCTCAGCAAATCATTTTACAAGCACTTTCGCATTATAATTTAATAATAATTAAAAATTTCTGTTATATTTGTAATTGATACGAATCCGTAATTGCTCTTTAATGAGAGCTTCATTGTAATTATATTCAGTTTCATTGGTGAAATATAATGATACATATCTCAATCATTAAATTCAGAAATTTACTGTGCATCCCCGCGTAATGACCCTTACCAAATACCATATCGAATTCTAAAAAAAAGATGGCCCTTTTTGCACCGAAATCCATCTGTAGAAGTACGTTGTTCGATTTCGCAGAAGGGCAAAAAGGAAGAGAAATCGAGCGTGTATTACACACGGCTCTATTCATTGATGCTAAATATCTTTTTAGGCAACCTCGATGCTTGTGCCGAGTTTCGTGAACATTCAACTCGTTTTAGAGCACAGGATCATTTATATTTGAGAAATAATTAAACAACTATTATAGTAACGTAATCATAAATTTTGCTAGTAGTTATTTATTATATTATTGACGGTGTGCAAGCGTTAATTATGATTTAATTGAAAAATCAAATCACCCCTAAAAAGGAGTTCAAATTCAACCTTAGCGTTCTCTATACAAAAACGGTTCAAACTACTCGACTTACCGATCCATTTTCCGAAACATAAGAAACACTAGCGCTACCTATCGGAAAATAGTGGAAACTGAACGTCAACTTATCGACTGCCAAAGAATTGATCGATAAGTTGACAATCTGTCGATAAGTCGGTAATTAGCTTCTAATATTTGCCGATAGGTAGCGCTAGTGATCCCTCTTCCAGAAGGTTTTTTTTCTTTAATAAAAAAAAAAGAAGAAAATAAATAAAGTAAATTAAATAAACTCCGGAAAGAAATTAGAGCACGATAATTATACTGGCTGTGCCCTATTCGTACGGACCTGATTTGATCTAAGGGCGTCAGAGACCTCGACGTATCAATGACGCCCTCCGGATACCGACCGGATCACATCTTGGGGTGTTAGGGACCCCGAAGTACCGATAATACTCTGTGCATCAACGTTATGGCATCCGGGGTGTCAGGGACCTCGATGCATCTATGGCGCTCTCTGCATACCGACCTGATATCATTTTTGGGTGTTAGGGACCCCGAAGTACCGATAAAACTCTGTGCATTAACATTATGGCATCCGGGGTGTCAGGGACCCCAATGCATCTATGGTGCTCTCTGCATACCGATCTGATATCATTTTGAGGTATTAGGGACCCCGAAGTACCGATAATACTCTGCGTATCAACGTTATGGCATCCGGGGTGTCAGGGACCCCGATGCATCAATTGCGGTCTCTGCATACCGACGTGTTTCATCTTGGGGTGTCAAGGACCCCGGCGACTCTTTTTAGGAACCGACAAAATATGATCTTGGGGTGTCAGGGACCCCGGCGACTCTTTTTAGGAATCGACAAAATATGATCTTGGGGTACCAGGGACCCCGATGCCTCAGTGGCGCTCTCTGCATACCGACCCGATACATATCATCTTGGGGTATCGGAGACCCCGAAGCACCGGCGACTGCATACCGACATTATGGCATTGGGGTATCAGGGACCCCGAAACTAAAATGTGCGACCCATAGACTTTTTATAGAAAAATTGAAACCTCTGTAACTTTGGACTCCGGCCACTTAAACGCATAAACGCAATGGTTTTGAGCTAGTCTCAGCGAGACCTTTTTAACGACGTATAAAACGTATCTTTAACCCTAATGGTTCCCAATTTGAAAAGTAACACAGACGGACGTCTTTGCGCTTTATGTAAGAATTTTCCGGTCTTGTGCTGATTTGAAAATAAAGCTGAGAATCAGAATAGTATGCTTAGGTACTTTTTATTTGTTCTGAAAGTTCACATATACACGTTAATTGTTAACGATATAATAAACAATGACATATAGACATTAGAATCTGAATAGATGCCCGTATCGCGAGAAAAAAGATGTTTCATAATACATATCACGTAATAATTATCGTATAATGACCATTTATATATATATGTAACAATATTTATAGACATATACAGACAAACTTTATGTATATTCGTGTTTTACATTATATTTATATATTATATACGTTGCAACACCGATATGTCGTTTTAGGCATGAAATTTCTGTCGCTTATGTGTAGGTGTGCACGATGCATGTATGTTCCATACAGGATTTGTTCGATCATGTGTATACGTGTATGTATATATATTTATATAGGTGGACCAATATTTACCTTCGTTCTCATATTTATACTTCGTACCGGACTTTGTATTCTTTATGCAGATTAATTGTTTAATCATACTTAAAGGTAGTACTCGTATGTGATTCAATCCTCGTTAAATTATTTGTACGTATATGTATATATATGCTTGTGTGTATCTCGTGTGTATTACACCAGCGTATACAGTAATTCGTAAAGAATGAAATATCCAAAATGAGTCCTCAACAGTTAACGAAGCGGACAGTATATAAGAGAGCACCGAGATACATATGAGTGAAGACGTACATGTTCGATATAGAAACAGAGAAACAGGCAGAGTAAAGCTCCGTTGTTGTTCTTCTTCTTATTCTTATTCTTCACTCGACAGATTCTCTTCTTGCGCGTTTGTTCGCAGGCTCGCTGAATTTTTCTCTATTTCCCGAAGAAACGTTCCCAGAGTATTACGCGCTATGTAATTCGAAATAAATCCTATGTATAATGTATATATTTCTATTATATATATATATATGGCTACGCCGTGAACGGCTCGTCGGCTGCGCCTGCAACGACTCGACCACTGTAAGACACTGTACAAAAATACCGTTTATAATAATTAGTAATAATAACGACGTAGCCGACGAGACGAAAATCTACGGCCATCAGAGATATGTCTCGACATGGTTCTTCGGGTGTCTCGGAACGACTAACCCGTTTCATCGTTCTACGAATCACCTAAGTTAGGGATATGTTTCACTACATGAGTCAGGAGTCCCTTGCTCTATTTCTTCTCTATGAATATATTAACAAAACTCTAATAGCACACTATCGAGCACATTATCCTTCTCTAGGGAAATAAATGTAAGGGTAGGAGTCCTCAGTACTCAATAATCAAGAGTTACTTGTGCACTATGCCTGAGTTAGTTTTAAATTTGGCTTCACCAAACGATTATATATTTTAATATTTTTTTTTTTTTCGAAACAAATAGGTTTCTTTAATAATGATTAAAATGAACGATAGACTCGATTCTGCCATTAAATATTAAAACGACTGATGGAGTCTCCTTTCTTCGCACTGTATTTTTCCCTAAAGAAAGCTAGTGTATTTGACACTGCATGTACCGAAAGGAAATTTTAATTTGCGGCTGCAAAATAATACGATGTCGCTGATAAATTATACACAGGGCAGATTAATAAATCAGAGCGAATATTTTGTATACTGTTCTACTTTCCTTTCACCCTTTGATTCAGTCTTTAATCATGGGATCTGAACTCCTGTCTCACTGAATATATGTGCATCTATGCTAACGTTACTATTCTTCGTTTCTGTATCTACTGATATTTTTTTTTTTTTTTTCGTCACTTTATGTCCCTTTGCATCCTGTCGTTCAAGGGAATGATTTCCTTTTAATAGATGAATTCGTATGAAAATAAGGATTTGAAAGGTTGTCGATATGCCAACTGCGGATCCTAAGCTATATGTAGGGCCTGCAGAGAATTCCACTGGGCGTATCGTTTCGATTTAACTATAATTCAGACTTTCAATTAATAGACTCAACGTTTAAAACATGTATTCTTGCATTATGAAAAATAAGAGAACAAAGGATCAGTGGTAGTCTGATTATTCCGCTTGAAAGAACAGGATGCAATCAGTAACTTTATATTTTCATATCGATGAAACTTCTTAGAAAAAACATCCAATGCGTATATGTATATATATAATATATAGGTATATAATATATCTTTGATGATCGTAATAATGTGTGTATATTATACGTAACGTACATATATTATATATATATATATATTAACAAATAAATTCTCTTAAATCTCATACGTTCACGATATGTATACGATCTTTAAAGATTATATCAATGAAGTCTTAAATCACTATCATTTAACCATTATCTTACAGGTAAAATTTGGGCGTATAAATGATATGTGTGTGTTGTGTGATATCAACACGAAGCCTTATCCTTTAATCGAAGTAGAATGTTGTTTCTTTACTTTTACTCTTTCTATGGAGCTTCTTAATGAAACGAAAGACTGAGTAACTAATCTTCATTAGATTCTAAATTACTATTTTTTTTTTCTTTCTTTTTTTTTTTGGTGCAATAGTTATCTCGACATAACTATTTCATTTATTATCATTATTCTCCTTCGATTTATCTTGGAATGGCAATTCGCGTTACAACGTACCAGTTATATCGTTAATCTAACTTCGATATGCAACATTATTCGTAGAATTAATATAGCTTAATCTTAGTATTCTCTTACCTATCTAATCAATTGTAAAACACAATTTACTTTCCACGTGAATACTTTAATAACCACTACGTTCTGTGAACGTATCTTCAATAATATTGTTTCGCGTGATATACAGTCTACGAAAGGTGTTCGACGATATGTTTTTCTTTTTCTTCAGCGTTTTAGAATAAATACAATGGAACCTGCGGTATTCAAATCTCCTATTAAGTTATTTGCAAGTTATTACAAATGAAAATAAAAATATGTAGTATTAATTATTGAAGTGAAAGATGGACTATTGCAAAGCTATTCATTTTTGTTATTCTCAGTTCATGTTCTATTATCAAAATAAATTAATTTCCTTATTAATTTCAATAACGCAGGTTCTACCGTACTGGTGACAGAGTATTAAACTCGTTTCTACGATATACAAGTATACATCTAATTGATAATATAACATTAGATGTACAGGATTTGTCCTAATACTTTCTTCGTTTCGTGTAATTAATCTAATTTCTCACGTTCATCGAAAAATATTGCAGATTTCTTTGACGTCAGCCATTCTAAGCGAACTTCGAACACGTTTCGCAACTCTAAATACAAGCAACCGTTGTTCGCACGTCACAATCTGTGCGCTGTTGAAATAAGAAAGAAAATGGTAGAGGGATAGGCGAATAAACCGAAGCTATAAGTCGTTGAAAAATGATACGGGTTCGCGTTGCAAAAGTTTTACTGCGACGTACGCCATACGTAGATCGTTTCAACGTCTTCGTTCGCTGAAAGACAACGATGTAATTTTCTCGTGTGTGCGTGTAAGCGTTCCTGTCCTAAGAGAGCAGTATAGCTACGAAACAGAAGCTACCAAGCCATTTGAATGGAATTGACAAGTGTCGGTTTCCTGTTGAGTACATTACGTTTCATCAGCAGTCGTTATTCCATTTCGACTGGTCGGTCCTTTGTGAATGGAGTTAAGCAACCGGAATCATCTGAAGATCTATTTAATGGTAAAGACTACGCCTCTAAAAGGGTATGGCTAATGATCGATTACATACGATTGCTTTACTCGTATCGATACATTTTTTAAAAATATTTTTCACCATGAACTTAATTTCAACGCGTTGAAATGTTCTATAAAAAATATATGTATAAAAGAGGATGAAAATTTGACACCTTTCAAGTGAACTGAATCTTCTGTTTTTTTTTTTTTTTTGTATTTTTTTGTTGTTATTTTTTAAAGAGTACTAGGGATACTTTTATCAATCTAAAGTTTTAATTGAATTATGTAGCGTAACTTTAGTGGTAATTGGAATTTTCTTCCTTCGTTCTCTAATTATTCGACTATCATTGAAATAGTCTTCAAAGTCTAGATTTATGAATTCGTCTACCAGATGATCATTCCCGTTACTTTCTACAACAATGGACAGTGGAAAAGAAAACGATGATCCACGATGCAAACTACGACGGGATTGTGACGTACGGAACGTAACATCAAGAAATTATTAATAACTTGTCCCAACGTTTCGGGAACGCGTTGATATGTATTAAGATGAATGTCCGTGGACCAATAGAATGACGACTAAACTACAGACATTCGAATTTTCTATCGAGTTATGCTTACGCGTCTCGCGTTATCGCGAGTGTAACAGACATCCAGAAAATACTTGGCAACGATCTTGATATGTAACGTTCGGTGAAAAAAGGCTCGCGTGATAATAATCGTGATGTCGTGGTGCCTTCGTTTCACCCTCTCATCGCACGTCTCGATCGAGATTCCCTCGTTTATATATTTTTTTTTCGTCATCCTTTCACCATGGTTTTCCATCCCTTCGTCGATCATAATCAAAATGCTTATAGATATATCATTCCTCAAATAAAACAATGAAACATTCTGCAAGTAATCGCGACTGACACCCCGAGAGACTAGTCGACTGCTGTTCACTTTGAATCCATGTAACTAGAGCATAAAATTATCATGATAAAAGTATCACCGTCAATTTGACGGATTAACCTGTTAACCGAGTCATTTTTCAACCAAGAAGGAACTATTTCCCCTCGTGACTGTAACAAAGAGCGAATGAAGCTGAGTTAATTTATCTTGTACAAGGTACAATATTGCTACTGCGATGTATTTCCCTCTCAATTAACTCCTCTTCCTCGGTTAACAAGTATCTTACAATTAAACGATCGACTAGATCCTTTCGAGTCTTTGATGAATCGTAGAAATCTCCAGGAAGGGAGCTATTGATTTTCAAAAAGCATTCCACCATGAATAAACATGTTAATCGTAGAATCGTGTCACGTCTCCGCGATCGTGGCACGATTTCTCGACGACGGAACGATGGATTCAACGAAGAGAAGGATTACAAACCGGCGCGGGTTCTCGCGTTTCTTTGATCAGAAAAACGGATTCGCATCAGAGCCGGAGGAGACTGAGATCGTCGAGGGTCGTGTGTCTGAAGGGAACGCAATTAAAACAGAACAATAGCAGCCGCTAGGATTTGTAACATCGTGTCGACGTACATGCAGCTACTGCCAGCTGACGAGGTTCGCCCAGCGTTTTTCCCGACGCAGCCCATTCTCTCCAAAGGTAGATTCTGAACCGAGTACTCCCGGTGCTCGCTGATCATCGTGCACACCGTTCGTTTCCTCGACATTCTTTCGTCGTCCTTGTCCCGTAGATTTCCCAGCCAGACGGAATACCATCGCAGCTCGCAGTCGCAGATCAATGGATTGTCTGAATAGTTCAACAGAACAATAGATTTCTAATTGCGTCACTGTCGCCGATGATTGTAGCTAATTTGACAATAATCGAATCATTCAATATCACCGTCTGCACGTTCGCTCGTTAAATTTGTTCATTTGTAGGTCGAAAGGGTTCCGAGTTTAATTGGAATTTGAAAAGGTGTAAAATAATGACGTTCCTTCTGTTCAACCCTATCGATCGATACTTTGGGAATATAATTCGATTGCACTCGAATGTTTAACGAAGAGATATTTTGCCCTCGTTCGAATTTACCTGTGATATCGATGTGTCGAAGGGTGTCGACGATATTCTCGGTCACTTCTTCCGGTATTTGCGTCAGCTTGTTGTTCTGCAGATTCAACGTTTCCAAAGAGTTCAGGTTCTCAAAGACCAACGGTGGTAACACCTTGATCCTGAACAGAGATAAGATAGATCTCGTGAGAAACACGTGTACGAACAACATTCGAATTATCCTCACAGAATTAAATGAGAAATTACAGATTCTTCTGGAGATTGAGGAACGAAATGGAATCTCCGTATCCGGTGAAAGCATCCTCCGGGAGCACGGTAATGTTATTCGCCCTTAAATCGAGATGACGTAGTCGATGAAGACGTCGTAACGCATCGCTCGGAACTGCATGTAAATTATTATCTCCCAGCCGTAAATATTGCAGATTTTCTGTAATGAAATTCAAATATAAACCTCGATGGTTATCTCTGTTGAAACAGCGTTTGAACGTACAATAATTTTGAAGCGGTCGCAAAAGTCGTAACTGAAGTAATTTATTAATTAACGCAGTAATATTATATAATCTAAATTGAAGTATTCGTCAACGTTTCGTGTAATCGCTTTGACTCGAACGACCGGGAAACCTGATTAAAAGTCAGCGCATGCTCCTGATTTTTATTTGGAAAACTTTACCACTCATCGGATCCTCTTCGCTGCAAAATAAACTAGAAAAGCAGTAAATTTCCACGACATACAAGTTTAACGGAGAACCGATAGTCGTTGGTTATTCGAAGCGTATTTTCGCATCAAAGATGCTGGAACGGCGTAGAGTTGATTCTTTAAAGGAATTGCGTGGAATCAATATTTCGCTTACCCTCGAGACCGATGAACGCGTCCGGATCAACGTGGGTAATTTGATTTCCGTCCATCTCCAAAGAGTTTAATTGCGTCAAGTGAGCGAACACACGAGCGGGTACCTCGCGAAGCTGATTGTGAGCCAACCCTAACGAATCCAGACTCTTCAGACCTGAAAAGGCAGAAGCGTTTCTCTTCTAATGAAATCCATTTTTTGCTACTGGAAGGCTATTTTTGAAGATTCTTTTGCTTGGGATCGATTCATCGACTTCTCAGAATAAAAGCATCCTTTGCCTGACCTTAGAAAAAAAGGTCGTGCATGCACGAGCCTTCGTACAATATAAAATTAATGTTCATTAATTATCAAAGTCTAGTTAATTAACATTTAAGTATTTAAAAAAAGCGAAGATTTGAAACGATTTATAAATGGGTTCAGCAGATGCAATTTTATGCAAAATTGAAATGAAAGTAGACGTACCCTCGAAATCACCCTCTTCAATGGCGGTGATCCTATTCTCCTGCATCTCCAGCTTTTTCAGCATGTCCAGAGTGCGCAGAGCTTGAGTCGGTACTTTGTTCAACTCGTTTCCTCCCAGATTCAGTCTCCTCAGCTTCCTGCTGCAATTCAAAAGTATCTTCATTCGTGCATCGTGCCGAATCTCTGAACACTTTGGTCGTCATTAGAGAAATAACCATCGCGTTAACCTAAACCTGGAGTCTTCTACTTGAAATCTCTCAGAGATATAATTTTATTTCATCGGAATTAAACTTACTTGTGTAGCCCTTTGAAGGCATCCTCCTCCACAGTGGAAATCTCATTTTCGTATAGAGAAAGGATTTCAAGAGTGTCCAACCCTTCGAAAGCTTTTTTATGAATCGCTTTGATCTTGTTACGGTTCAGGTTTAAGATAAGTAAGTGCTGAAGATCTTTCAACGCGCTCGATGGTACTGAGAGCAAAGCGTTCTGCGATAGATCAAGCTGCGTCAGGCCAGTTCCTATGGGATAACAGCATCGCTATATTACATTTGCCTTTGAAGATTATTCAAAGTTGCGAGGGTTCAAAACTCGAATATCAAGACTTCAAAGTTCTACCCTTGAAGTACCAGAAGATGTCATCGTCACAATTTGCAAAATAACAAAAGTGAAAATCTCAAACTATTAATAATCGAAAGGGTTGAAAACCAAAGTCCGAATCTCAACATTCAAAAAATTTTAAAATATTTATAATTGAAAGGGTTGAAAACCAAAGTCCAAATCTCAACATTTAGGAAATTACCAACTATTAATAATTGAAAGGGTTGGAAACCAAAGTCCAAATTTCCAACTATTAATAATCAAAAGGGTTGAAAACCAAAGTTCAAATTTCCAACTATTAATAATCAAAAGGGTTGAAAACCAAAGTCCAAATCTCAAAATTCAGAAAATTGAAAAATATTAATAACTGAAAGGGTTGGAAACGAAAAATCGAAGAGCTCACCGATGGAGCTGAGAGAAGATTCCTCGAGTTTCGCCAGGCTGCTGTTGTGAATGGTTAAATGACGAATATCGAGGCCAAGGAACACGTATGGCTGCAATTTCGGCAAGCTGTTATGCCTGAGCCTCAAATAGAAAATCACCGTGTTCGTTCTTCCCTTCAACGAGCTCATAACCTTGGATATGTGGGTGAGATCGGTGAACTCGCATACGATGTCAAGGCCGGATTTTTTCAAGGTGCAGGAACAGGGCGATATCTCAGCGTGCGATGGGCAGAGCTGCGACGTTTGTGCCAGGCTCAAACCCATTACGAGACACAACATGCAAATCACCGTCCATAATCTTTGTTCCTTCATCTTTTCCCCGACCGTACGCAGCCTCGTCTTCTCTAGATCCTTCCTTTTCCACGAACCTCAAACTCGCTCGTTACCGTTCTCCTTCTCGATTTTCACCCAATTTTTTTCTTTCTTTTCTCACCCTCTTGTCTTTCTCAGTCGGCACGCACACGCACACGCACACGCACACACTTCCCGTTTCGCCCTCTCTGTTCCTGTACCTGCAGCCTGCTACTTAGCCTCTGCTCTTCTCATACCCATTGTTCGCTCTTCCGCGGTGCACCGGTACACCGAGTCTGAAAAAAACAAGAGCTTCGTTAATTTTCACTGATAAAAACGAGGAATCCGCGACACTTATGACTTATTACAACCATCCTGAAAACGAACTCCATTCGCAATTAATCAAAGATAAGACTGATCGAACCGTACGAGTTAGGATTAACGATTCGTTCGTTCGTGCATCTGAATGGAAAATAACCATCGCGGAGGCAGCATTGTTGGTGGAAAATTTATGCACTTGACATTTTCTCGCTAACGTTCCTCGCTCGGTTCAATCTCGGGTCATTTATTTTCGTCACGACACTGTTTTGGTAAACATGAACGTTCGAGGCGTTATCGATCAATCGCGATGGAACAAATCGCGGCCGGAAAGTAATGAGAAACGAGTTTTCATTTTTGGATATCTACGTATAATTTTCTTTTTTTATATACGAAGTCTTGAATTGGACTTGTTCCGTTCGGGATCCCCGTGTATAGTTAATGCGATAATCCCCGAAAAGCGTAGAGAAAACGCTCGTCCTTGGACTTTTCACCCTCGAAACTCGAGTGGCACGCTGTCGTTTTCATCCCCCCCGTCTGTGTTTTACGAGCAGCCCGTATATTTTTTCCCATCGAGCGTACATGCCTCCCGGGGGTAAGAGAATTTTTGAACGAGACGGATGTATGATGTTTAAAAAGCGGAAATTTTAGGCTCAGGTGCGTATACGTAATGAAGTGTTTGGAAATGATACTCTTCTCGGCTGAAAATCCGTTAAACGGATCCTCTATTTTTAACACTCCGATGTAATTTTAATTTTTATATTCAACGCGAGCTAATTACAGAAGCGTCGAGCACAGATTACTCGAAACCTTTCGAAAATTATTTTCACACCTGTTTAACCAACTTTGTCTGACAAATTGAAAATGAAAAACATACCGATCCATGTAGATCACGCGGTCGTTTTCGGCGAAGAAAAACTTGCTGGAAAAATGCGAGACGATAGAACGACGCGAGTTCGCGTAATCACTGGTCATCGCTTATTGATGTCACTGCGTATCGAGAAACTTAACCGGTCACTTGATTAATCGAAACATGGGGGTTCGCTCTAAACGCAGGGGAGCATAACGACACACTTTTCTATGTTGCCATTCAACGAAGCAAATTACACACTGTCGGAATAAGAAACTCTTTTCATCCACAAACAACTTTAATTCTTCCTGAACGATTCGATTCTTTGAAATCCCTTCAACTATCGATAGACTTCCGTGTGGTTTGAAAAATTTACAGGCGTCTCGCCTCGATCGCTCGTCGATCAGGCTTCATAGTCCACGCGAGATCCACGACCAGCGACCATCTAACGTAGACTTCCGTCCATGGTTCTCCAAACAGCTTCTACCTTTCCCCGTTCGTCTCGAGTATTCCCAGCACGTACGCGTTAATCGCCGGTGCACCGTCCGCGCGGATCGCATCGCCAATTTGCCGAAGCTGCACCTCCTGAAGCTGATCAAACAACCGGAGGAGAGCGACAGGGGGACGTTCGATTTCACGGGACGCGAACAAGAGATAATTAAACGGGAACGAATCCCGCAGAATCTTGCGGGATTTCAGCTACGAAATAACCTCGACCGACAGCTTGAAATGCTTTTTTCTCCTCTTCCTCGTGGAAAGAAGGAAGAAAGTAACGGGTAGAAAACGAAACGTCGCCTCGATTAGCGTTGACGACGCTCCAGTCGAGAGGCGAAAGCTGTCGTGAGTGCCGCTCTCGGCTCGGCACCGCTGCGCTCAGTTGTCGGTGACATGGGTGTCCGTTGGCATCATCATTGGCCGGCTAATGGGCAGCTTCCGTCAAGGGGATCATGGGATACACGACGACGCCAGAGGCAACGTGGTGGACCACGTCATCGGAGATTCTTACGACACTCTGAGCCGACTCGGAGCAATCCGTTTATTGCTGCTTGATCCTCTTTCCTCTAACTCTTTCTAACTCGTTTCCTCTCAGATATGCGGCTCGAAAGACCGCAAGATTTTCCAACGTTTTTCTTTCGCCAGTTTTTCGCTGCAACCATCCGAATATCGATGGTTTCGCGATGGAAACTGAGAGACTTTTTGGTTTTATTTTCATTGCTTAATCTTCTGGAAATTCTCAATCTAAATTTTCTTTCACCGTCGCTACTTGTTTCTTAACACACTTTTTTAGCCACTTTCAGCGGAAGTGAAGGATCGTAATCCGGAGAGCGTATAAAAATTGTAATTTATACATGTAAAGCGACGGGAAGACAGATTTTATCCACGAAATCGTTCGCCAGAGCATTTGACCGTAGTAAAAAGAAATTCAGTACATATTATGATTGCGACCACGGAAACGGAGAATAACGCGGGAGGATCGTAAACCTTTGAATTGCCTGTTAACCCGGTTTTATCTAAACATATGCGAACGTTTCGTATTATTTACAGACGTTTTTATTGCCGGTTATGCTGTAATACGTTCTTATACGCGGTAGTAAGTTATTTCGAACAATCAACCTGTTTTAAATAAATATCTGACTTGGGAACAAGATGCAGTGGACAAACAAGGCAGAAATTTCTTTATCTCCTTGCGTGGACGTAGTCGTTAAAATAATACCAGCGATAATTACAATAATGAAAGAGGATAAAAATCGGGGCATTTTTAAGCCGGTTCAATTTTATTTCCAGTTTATCGGCTCTCTCGATTCCAAGCCGGTCCTTTCAGCTAATTTTCGTCACGAACAACGGCCGATCCGCGGTCCGTCACGTAATTTCTCTGCTTTACGTAAAGCAAGCGGTTCGAATAGGTGGTCGGTGTCGATCACGTTAACGAACCGAGGGAAAATAAAAAAAGCGGTTCGCTAACGACACAAAGATCGCGACGACGTGACGAGGAGAAGAGGAAATCACCGATACCGCGTTACTTCCTCTCTTGTCACCGGTAATTGCGATTCACCGGATATATCGATCCTTCTTTTTCAACGCGATGCATTATTATGCGCGTGGCGGACGACAAGCATTCCTCGAGAAAACTCGCGTCTCGGGCTTCGATTCCTTCGCTAATTGGATTTAGACGACGACGGATGAACTTGCGAGTGGAAAATTCGATTCGACGCGTATTTTATCGACGCTTTTATCCCTCGCTCGATTCATCGGAATCCACTTACGATCGCGGGAACATCGTCGACGATCGAAAGTACTTATTTTTCTGCTCGAAGAACTTGGAACGATGAAGATGAAAGAAGGAGGACTTTATTCTAGATTTTCTTACGGATGGATTTGCGAGACTGACGGATCGCTTTATAATTTCTTAATTTTAGAAGGAAAATCAACTCTTCACCTTGGGAAAATGTTTCAAGAAAATTTACTTGAAAAGATCGTAAAGTAAAAAAAAAACGATTATCGAGAGTATCAGGTGCGATACATATCGAATCGATAAGTCGATGAAAGTCAATCGTTCGTAAAATAAAACGAATCGCTGTTAAATCGAAGAATCTCATGAAGCATAGGTTCCGAAGCAATTTCGCTACGGTCAATCAATTAATACTATTCGAACGATAGATAACCCAGCTTTGCTAGCTGCCCTCTGTCTATCGAAATCAATACCTTGGTGTTCCCGTTGTTTGCACGGCCATTGATGCGAAGCAAATTGTACAATCTGCCAGAAGGAACACTGTTCAATTGACTGATGTCGACGCTTCGATCAAGCTAGTTCCGGTGCCATATTTCTTTTTTTTCTCCCGAATACTAACGCGTCGCGAATACCGTCGAATTTGTTTCTGAATGATTAATTTCAGAGAAAGATCGACCAGTTACAAAGGTGAAAGCATATTTCAAGCTCTATCAGGTACCACTGAAAGCGACGATAAATTTTGTTCAAGTTACGCGCAGGGTCGTGACGAATGGGCTATTGGAACAATTCAATTTGTATTTAAAGGGTAAAGTTAAAATAAGAATTTATCCGATATTACAATTTCCTATTTGCAACCACGTTTATTTCGATACAAATATAATGGTACTTGCTCGCATTTCAATCACACGGTTATCGCAATCAGCTGTACAGTATCGCTCATTAATACTGTCATTAGCGCACGCTTCGCTTAGCATTATACTATTAAAACGCCACGAACCGAAAACGTCACTAGGTATCGTTCCCGAAATTTCAATACAATCCGTTTAGCAGAAAATTTCGATAGTTATTCCGGTCGTTAAACTTTCCTTCCAGACTCGCAAATTAACTTAAATCGACTCTGTATTTAACTCGGCAATATTCGAATACGACTATCGGACCCGTCCATCTATTCGGAAATTCATTTTAAGCAAGTCGGAATATTAAATTCTGAAAGTGTCTTCTCTGCGTATTTCAATGCTTTTCTGATTCGTTTGTCTCAACAATAACAATGGCTGCAGAAACGTAACGAAGTTTCTGTATCGTTCGCTGCAATATTTAAGAGGATCGGAAAAACGACAACGACGCGACGGAAAAATCTTTTCACGCCGGGAGCAACATGAATAGTTTAGTTTCATCGATCGACATAGAAAGCTGCTGGAACATTTGATACGAAAACGCGAGCCCGGCGAACGTGCGGAGCACGCGAGAAAATAGAGAGCAGAAGGAAAGCCGGTAGAGATAAACAGAGATTCTTTTGGATTCCTTTTATTAGGGTAGCAGCGCTGAAATTGGGGGAGATTTTGATCCGGCCTGGGCGTCTTTTATTTTCAGAGCTTTTTTAGTGGCGCGAAACGAGCCAGTTCGAGGATACGATTTCTTTTTGCTAATTGAAGCAATTTTAGGAAACGAATGTTTTTCACCGAATTCGTGTAACTTTAGACGTTAAGGGTACTTGAAGTAATTTTCATCTCTTCGAGTTCTCCAGATCTTTCGTAGAATTTCAAATGAGAAGCGAATAAAAAAGAATCATTCGGTATCTTCAGAGCAGATTTTATTTTAATACATTTCAGCTTCGTGTGTACGCCGATCCATTATGGCATCGCATTATCTCGTTGTGGCCTGTGCGACCCATGAACCGCACGTTATCTTGTTACCAGTCAGGTGCTTAAGGTTCGCGTAAACCGCAATAAAGTTCGGCTACAGGACCTCGTAAAACAGCTTCTTAGAATACCTCTGCTCTCTAATCACGGCCATGGTAAATATTCTCTGATCGCATGGGTTAGTTAATTAAAGCAGTTCCTAGGGTTAATATCCTTCGATGATTTATTTTCAGGACGAGGGACCGATAAAATTAGGGTGACTTGCATCGCCTAGTTTTTATTAAAAAGATTTTTGGAAAATTTATTTTAAGAGATATGGACGAAAAGGAAGCCAATGCAAGCTACTTGAAAGTATAATAGCTTTTTAAATATTAGTGGAAGATAACGATGAAGTGTAAGTTGGAAATGCACGTGGGAAATACGATGTTCGTTCTACGTATTTTCCGGTGGCTCCCTTAGTTTCCGACCCTAATTAGGATGGCTCGCCCCTAAATTAACGCTTGCATTATTTATAGCCGAGCGCAACGAATTCGCGCAAAATTTCTGTCGCGACGTTCCACGGAATTTCTTCTTTGAATTTTTCATTTATATCATATAATCAAACTTCATTTCTCTGAAGAGACTTTTGATACGAATTCTTCTCTTTCGAAAGTATTCTTCACCGATCTGGTAGGTCGTGGATGAGGATGTTGTTCCTGGGATTATGCAAGATTTGTCAGGAACAAGATGCTTGGAAAATTGCTTTGTTTTGGGATTTGAATCGAGGATCAACCCTCTCAAGCTTCCTTCTCGATTTTCTCAAACGTCTTTTCGTTACACGACCCTGCTGATTTCTTCTCCCTCTCTTTTTTATCAACGAATATTCCTGATGTTACAGATTCGAAGATGAGCATGGAAGATGGTTGCAGCTTGGGGAATAAGGGATCCCGGAGATCGAATCTGCGCTCTGTTTCCGACGTAAGCGAACGCATTATTTATTACCGTATTAAGATCCTTGCCCTCGGGGATCAGCTTTATTTCGAAGGGTTCACAAACCTCCCGAAATTAGTAAATCTTCTACCAAACTGATCGTCAACAATTTTGTATATTTTCTATTTAAATGAAAATCAAATAGTTCGCAAAAAGAAGGAAGGTAGATTATTTGCAATACTATATACGTCGTTTGTTTGCAAATTTTACAAGCTTTTTATTATCGAACCATAAACTTCAGTACTCCGTGATACCATCCAGTGCACGTAGCCATAAATTCCTAAAGCCAGCCTTTCTTGTAGCCCTAAACCGTATTTGTATAAAGTACAATCTCATAAGCCCTAGGAACGCGAGTTTCACGACGATCGAAAGTAATTCAACCCTCGTAAATCGCTTCCCCTATCGGATTTTTCTTCGCGCACCGCAACGTGGAAGATAAGTTTTTAACAAAGATTTTCTTTCCACGAATTCCGTTCGAAAAGCCATACATTTTTATCAGAATTATTTACAAATAATAAGTGCAATCGTGGATTGTTTCAGAAATTGCCGCGAATAAAGGTACGCGATATTGGGCGCGATAGGATTTTAATAATGAACCGTGTTACAAAGGTAAAATTGAACTGCGATTTAATAGGCAATCGAATTTCAATTTTCCCGTTCTTTGGTGCTGTTCAGCTGATCCCGATAAATTGCTAAAAAGAGGGGAAAAAATTGTAACTGAAATTGAACTTGTCACGTTGCGCCGAGAACAAAATAGAAGGGCGAGGAAAAAGTTTCAAGTGGTAACTCGATCAATTGTTATCGAAACAAGAGGCA